CAGGGAGCCCGATGCGGGACTCGATCCCGGGACTCCAGGATCATGACCTGAGCCGAAGGCAGTCGCTTAACTGACTGAGCCACCCAGGCGCCCAATATACACAATTTTTGGCAGTTATATCTCAGTAAAGGTGGGAGTAAGAAAGAGAAATAGCTAGGCAAAAACATTTCATATTTTACCTCTATTTTATCTCTAAATCATCTACCAGGCTCAAAATACTATTTTAAAAATTCTTAATGAGTAGTCAGTAAATGGGAAATGACTGAAATATTGTTACCTTTTATATTTAATGGAGTCGACATTTATACAATTTAAGTATGGAAAAAAATCGTAGTTGTAAAGAAGTATCCTCTTAGAGCCTCTATATTTCAATTTTTTACAGTTTTTTTTAAACCTGTATTTCTGGATTTGCGTAAGAGTAATTTTTTTCCCCGAAGTTTCTTGCAGTCACTATTGCAGAGATAAAGTATTCTATTTCATGAATGCTATATGGTTAAATCACCACAAATATATTTAATTCTAAAAGTCACCTGTTTAGTTGAGATGGATTCAGTAATTTACGTAAGGTTCCTTTTCCAAAACTGCCATTGCAATTCAATTAAAAAGAAATTTCTCAGGGCGCCTGGGTGGCTCAGTTGGTGAAGCGTCTGCCTTTTGCTCAGGTCATGATCTCACAGCCCTGGGATCGAGCCCCGCGTCGGGCTCCCTGATCAGCGGGGAGTCTGCTTCTTCTGCCTCTGCCTCCCCCCGACCCCCCGCTCATGCTCTGTCTCTCAAATGAATAAATAAAATCCTAAAAAAAAAAAAAGAAATTTCTCATTTGCAAATACTCATAGGTGCTGTGGTATTTAAAAATCCATCATTTGTACCTAGTTCTTTAGTCACCAGTCATCTAAATAACACAGAAGTTCAACTTCTCAAACATGGAGATGGAATGGAACAGTCCCTTGGCAAAGCTTCCAGATGGGACTTTTTCACCATCCAATAAGGCTGGATTGTAACTTCATATTCACAACTAGTCCCTATCTTTGTGGTTATTTAAGTGTCAGACCCAAAGATCAGTGTTTGGATGATAATATTATAAGGGACAGTAACTTGCAGATCAGTGGATTGTACTTCTGTGTACCCTATCATTCCCCAAAGTCACCGTCTCTGAACTAGTGTTCTGTGTTGACAGAAAGGAGAAAAGGAATAGTCTGCTTCTTAGAATAAGGGAACTACGTGTGAAAACATCCACTTCAGTGACTAGATGAGAACCGTGTATAATTATTAGAGACATTGTTCATGTGCAAATAGATGTTGATAAAATTCTAGAAAATGGTTTGGTGTCTAAGAAGTTGGACATTCCACCAGAAATAGTTTTGATTATGTATTTATTTAAATTTCCTTAAAAAATAGTGCCAAGGAAAATTCAGACAAACTACAGCAGAATCACTATAAATTCAAAATTAGTCAAGTCTGAATAATTGAAGTTTTGATACACTAGAAAAATTGCAAAAACTTAAAATTTTCAATAACCGCACCTGAGATCATGGGTCAGTAAATAGCCCTGCCTATGGCATCTTTTACGTGCCTGTGTTATGCTACAACATTTAACTGTTTGTGTTCTTGTTGGGCTCTCCTCATAGGGACTTCATTCATTTATTTCATTCCCCAACAAATATTAACTGCCCTACTGTATACCAGGTGCTGGGGATACAACAGAGAACCAATCAGAGAAAAATATAGGTTTTCAAGAAGATTCTATTTTAATATGAGAGACAGAAATAAAAACCAGATAAATAAGCAACATATAGCATATGTTAGATGGGATTTCTCTAAATATTCACCTCTGCATCACTCATATCTAGCACAATACCTGGATATAGTAAACACTCAAAAGCTACTCACTGCTAGATTGATTTATGAGATAAAATTGACCTATAACATCATATTACTTTCAGGTGTACAACATAATGATTTGATATTTGTGCATATTGCAAAATGATCACCACAATAAGTCTAGTAATGTCACCACAAAATTCCCTCACCTGTGGCAAGCACCAATCTGTTCTCTGTATCTGTGAGTTTAGCTTGTTGTTGTTGTTTGTTTGTTATAGATTACACATATGAGTGAGATCTAGATTAATTTACTTTTATGATTACTCAGAGGAACAAAAACATAATTTTTAAAATTACCTTTGCTTTTAAATGTGAACAGCCACTGGAGTCCTGAAGTGGCCCACAGATACACATAGACTTGCGGTAGAGGCTGTATAGAATCACTTGCAGAATAAAACTGTTATCTATGAGTAAAGTAGCCTGGCAGATTTATTAATTGTGGTGACCTTAACAATGGGTATAATTGTATTACATGGCCCAAATGAATGGATATTTTATGTCACCATCTACCCATATCAGATGCTCTGAATTCATTCTAAAAACCTCTTATCTATAGTTTATCTGTACTTTAATTTATTTACATAAATAAACTTCAGTTTTTTTTTTTTCATGGAAACATACACATGTGTGTTGGCTTTGAACTTCACTATTCCCAAAAGTAAGAAAAAGTCAGTACTTATATCAGTGTTTGTCCTCTCTTGGGTCGTTCTATTTGTGCACATTTGACTTGCCATATAAGTTATCATTTTTGTAGTTCTAATGTCAGTTTGAACTCAAAGGATCCAGATGTCTACGTCAATGTTCCTGCTACTGTTCATTTCTTTTTGTCAGTGTTTTGCAAAATAACATCACTTTGTGGAATGTGAAATGGATACCTTGCAGCTTAGCTAGTTAAGTTAAACAACTATAGGACTGAGAAAATATCTGTATCAATGGATTTTATTTTGCTTGTTTTGCAGGTGACAATGGCCAACATTGGAATAAATGGAGATCATTCTCTGGAGACCTGTGAAACAACACTTTTCGCTCTCCGAATGGCAACATGGAATCAAATCTTAGATCCCTGGGTGTACATTCTGCTGCGGAAGGCGGTCCTTAAGAACCTCTACAAACTGGCCAGACGCTGCTGTGGAGTGCATGTCATCAGCTTGCATGTGTGGGAGCTTAGCTCCATTAAAAATTCCTTAAAGGTTGCTGCTATTTCTGAGTCCCCAGTTGCAGAGAAAATAAATCAGCAAACGCCTGGTTTAATAGGACAGTAAGGCAGTGTAAATCTAGGGCAACTTTCAGGCAAGTTTTGTCAATATTTCAGTTAATTGGATAGAGATAGAAAGCCTAACTGGAAAATTCAGACCTCAGCAGTTAGTTTGGGGGTACTTTTGTCAGATTCGGCTGTTGAAATTTGTTAAATTCACTGTACAATTGCATCTTTTCACTTGTTTTTGTCAACTGGAGGTAAACATGATGCGATGATGCCATGGGAGTCAAAATGAAAAAAAATTTGGCTTATTTGTGTTATTCACACTTTTGGAATGAGTGACTCTGTTGAAGCCTAAAGCATTTGCATGTCCTATTTGTCAAAGAGCATCTTTCTGTTGACTTGCACAGGCAAAGAGCTGTTTGGGTGTCATTGTTCTGCAGCTGTTCCTGATAAACGAGGCTCATGAAGTGGAGCATGCTCATTGTGGGGTCTGGTCTGTTATACCCCTCATTATGTAGCTTCAATCAATGTATGTACGCTCATGTCTCATGGGATTCACGGTGGCTTTTTATAGTGACCTCCATGACACCAGGTGTGGCCATCAGGTTGCCTGACCTCGTGAGGCTCCTTAGAACGAGCCTATCCTTGTCATGTTGACAAATATGACTGCTTGCATGTATTATTGTGAAGGTAAATTGTTGCTTGAAGGTTTTTTTGTGTGAGTCATAGATTTGCCCAGTTTTCACATAATCTCCTTTTCCTCTGAAAGTTCTAGTGCACAGTAAATAATTTTTTGAGAAACAAAGGCTCTATCTCAGCACATATCTGGGTGATTTGCCTTATAGCAGTTCCTATGAAGCTCTGGCACAGATAATGCAAACAAACAGAACTTAAAACCATGTGGATAGGTACAAAGCATATTGGCAAAGAAGTTCTACTTTGAACTGCCATTTCTGTATTAGAGAACAAAAGAAACACAATCTATATATAATATTCAAAGACTATCTGCAGCTAGAGTGTTTGTGCTTTCTACACACACACACAGCATATCAAAAATTTCTGTTGAAAGCTAGTTCATTAAATCTGTAAGATGGCATCTTCTAGAGCCTATGTTACCTATGTCAAGGGGAAAATTGGCAATTAGTCAGGCATTTGGTGATCATTATTACGGGTAACCAAGAGATCAGGGGATAATGATCTCTCTTCAAATTTCTCAGTAATACTTCAGACTTCTTTGCTTCTTTGTGTAATTCAACCCCCCAAATTTTAGTAATCATTGAAAATGTCCTGGGGCTAGCAGAACATAGGGTAGGGAGTTCTGCTTCACAGTAAGGAAATGTATTTCTGTAAAAGAATTACTGCTTTCATTACTTGTGGTCCATTTAAAAAATTAACCTTCTCTGTGAGACTGATTTCACGTTCTCCAGGAAATCTATGTGTCTCAGCTAGACTTAAATTATTATATTCACAAATTTTTGCTTTTGACTGGTAATATACATTGGAAGTTGTCAACTTTTGTGAATTTTGGTAAATTCTTATGAACAAATGAAAAGAAATTAAGCAAATAACCTCATTGAAGATTTAAAGGAAACCACTTTTTTCCAGTGAATTTAAAGAGGGGAAATACACACACACACACACACACACACACACACACTCACACAGGGGCACATGATATTCTTATTTTAAGACCAGTAAATGATGAATCACACAAAGTTAGGTTATTCTCATATATAGAATACATAGTAGTTGCTCATAAAATACTTGCCAAGTTGAGTTACAGACAAGAGTTTTTTTGATGCAAAATGGGCATGGACTTGCAAAGTTTTTGTGCATTTTTACTTAAAATGACAATTACATATTGGTTATTTTGATATATATATGTGTGTATATGTATATTTAAATATCCGGTGTATATACTTAAAAAAAAAAAGCCATTGCAATTTGTGATTGCTGTTACATTACAGGAATGTTCTCATGTGTTTCAAGAGCACTTAAAGCCTAGAACACTGAGATGGCTTTAGAGGAGACATTTATTTCCCACAGCTCCTTAAGAGAGTGTTGGTGTCCTGGGAGCTGAGTCACAAGGAACCACAGCTTCATCCTTCCTCCTCATGCTGGATAGGATGCTGTAGCAAACATTTCCATGTATTGTGACCCGGGAGACGCATGCAGAGAAACTCTTGTTCAGGGCTCCCGGCCTCTTCTCCTTAAGGGTTCTAAGTAAATGGCATCATGGTTGTTCTATTGCCATGATGTCACCCTGGCCACATATATCTACAGTGAGGAGATACTGTGACCTTACCATACGTGGGAATGCATGGGCGTGTAAGGTGTTAGGGAATGACAGGGCAGTCACTCTCTGCATATCCTGGAAGGATTCTCTTTATTATCTGAGCACAGGCTTAGGGCAACTAAGTTGGTTTATAATGAGGTTAAACCCAAGAAGTAGACACCAAAAATTGAAAAAAAAAAAGTAGTAAAAGAATATGCATTTACATTGTGTTAAGCCTTTTGTCCAAGGAAAATGAAATAAAGTGAACACAATATGCATATATCTGACTTCAGAATTTTATTTCTGTTATTATATATATTTCAGTGTAGTTCAGCATCTTATTGTGTGTTGAACAATAGAGTGTAGCATCCATCAACCACTTTCATAGAAATGTTCAAAGTGAAAATACACTTGTTCCGATTACTGGAAACAAATAGTACAAATAGTGTTCACCAGGTTAACCAATTTTGAAATTTTAAGTTCTGTTTTAAAATTTATAATTAGACTGTCAGAGCAACTGAATTGCCCTTCTCATTGGGTAAAGTAGTATCAAAGCCACTTCACTTACTATTTGATCATATTACTTCTGGGAAAATTTATTATTCTGGGCAAATGACTTGCAAAAGCCAGGCTTTTTCTTTTGTTAATGAATTTAAAAACTGAGACAAAAAAAGCCAACAGCATATGGGTTTTTATGATTATGAATACAAAGATAATGCTGACTCATAATTAGTTGTAAGTGCATCCCAATGTATCACACTTTTTACTGAGGATTTAACTAAGTGCAGAAATATTCTACATTTTTTCCTAAAGGCTGAAAGTTCCTTTTAATTATTTGTATTGCTGAAGTGCAAAATACCTAAAAGTCAACTCATACACACACACACACACGCACGGACACAGATGTATCTGTCTTACGCAATAAATGGTCTTGTTTGCTCATTTTCAGTCTTTAGTAGAAAAACCCACTTTAGTTTTGAGTCTAATCTGAACTTACATCCCAGATAAGAGCACTTGCTAAACACCTGGATGAACTTTTTGTGAAACTTGCTGTTAGCTTTGCCTGTATCACCATCATTGCTCCAAATTAATAAATGAAGGTCAGAATATGAAAGATGAGAATGCACATTTTCTTACTTCTTCATCTGGGTGTCAAATATTTTACCACGTGGTAAATAATGTTGGACTTCAACTTGTTACTGAGGTATTTTAACAGTAGATACAATGTGTTATGTGAATATATTTTGTGTTCTTCATACTTGCTGGACTGTATGAGATTAAACAGTGATATGTATATTTTGTGACGTGTATCAGTGTGCAACTCATGTAATTTTAGTGTTTTGACTAGTTTAAAACTTCAAACAGATGATTTACAATAAACTTGGACTAGTGTTTATCAAGAGTGGCTATTTCTTGGAAGGTCATTTAAAGCTTGGAACTCTTGAACCTAAACTTCCATTTTTATCTATTTGGTGGGAAGAACGCCGCCTGTTCCAACGAGCAGTTCAAACTCCCAGTCCAAACCCTCCCGCCGCCTGAGCCCTCCTCCTCCGAGCTGATCATCCTTTTGCTCATGGGAGTCCCCTCTTCGACAGACCCCCGTTCTCAAACAGAATCTTCATCTAGTCAGCCCTCTCCCTACCCTAACCCTCTCGCTGCTTGAACCCCTCTTCCGATGCTGGCACCAACAGAGCCCCTGCCCATGCAAACAACGAGGACAACTGAATCCCCAGCCCCCCTGTCCTCTCTCCAAAAAATAAATAAATAAATAAATAAAACAGCTTCAAAAACAAACCCCTTCGCTCCCAGCTGGAAGACCCCTCAGTGTCCGAGGTAGAATGAAACATGGCTTTTAAATACCCGAGGCCTGGGTTTGCAAGCTCTGCTACTGGTTAGAAGAATTTCAACTTGTTTTCTTTTATTACCTTTGGTATCTGTTTCCTGCCTCCTTCGTTGTTGTTGTTGTTGTTGTTGTTGTTGGGGTTCACCTGGGCAGGTCATAAATTTTGATGGGAATCTGATAATTTCCAAAACACACTGGCCTAGATGTGTCAGGATAGCAGAGAAATGTCTGTGATAACAAACCGCCGCCCAAGTCTTCGTGCCATGAACCTTCAAAGGTTTATATCTCACTCCTGGCTCCTGTCCACTCAGAAAGGGAGCTCTGCCCATTGTAATCACTCAGAGACCTTAGGTGACAAAGCAGCCACAGTCTTCTAGGTTGCTGTTTGCCGTGCTGCAGGGAAAAAAGCATGGTAAATCATGACCTGGCTCCTAGAGCTTCCACCTAGAGGTAAGACGTATTTCTTTTGCTCACACATCTCTGGCCAAAGCAGGTGATGGCCTACCTCCTTCAAGGAAGCAGGTTAGTGCAATACTATGATATGCCTTGGAGGCGAACTGAAAATAATTGGTGGACTGCACAAATGATTTACATATTAGGTCAAATATTTTCATTTTGCCCTTCTAATATAATTCAAACTAGAACTGTTTATTTTAAAGTTTTTTTTTATTTAAGAAAGTCATGGAATGAAAGCATATAAGATTCATTCTTCTAAGTAGCTTGTAAAATATAAAGATAAGGCAGAATGAATGCCACATATGCTGTTTGCAATTAATAGGAATTTTAGAAGTTAAAAAGTCAATATAGAATAAGAAGTGAAAACACTTGTTTTTTTGTTTTGTTTGTTTTTTAATTTGAGAGAGAGAGAGCGAGAGAGCATGCACACACAAGAGCAGGGGGAGGGGCAAAGGGAGGGAATCCCAAGCAGAGCCCGGCACCGAGCCCGACATGGGGACACTCGATCTCACAACCCTGAGATCATGACCTGAGCCGAAACTAAGAGTTGGATGCTTAACCGACTGTGCCACCCAGGTGCCCTGAAAATACCATTTTATATATATCCTTATTCATACCAAAGTAGAGGCAGAATTACTGAAATCTAGAGGAACTGTATTTTAGATTTAAAGTGTGCTTTACATTTCCACTTATACAAGCATATAAACTCTTAGAGTTTTGTATTTAATAACATTTGAGTTCTTTTTTAATATCTGATTGGTAAAACCTCAAATTAACAAAATGCCTTCTGTTGTAGTGCTAACTTTCCCATGTTCAATAAGGCAATCCTATACTACTATACACCTAAATAATTTTAGTTTAAAAAAAAATGAGATTCTACTAGACATACTGTTGTGTTGTAAAACTTTGGTTTTTCAATAACCCATGTTGGTACATGCAGAGTATTCTTTTTAACAACTTAATACTCTTACATAAGAGAAGTGTACTATAAATAACAATTTTCCTATTGAAGGAGAGCTGTTTTTGTTTTCAGTCATTTCCCTCTTTCCAATTACACTATTTCAATATGCACATCCTTATCCTTTCTTGTGTTCTGTGGGGTTGCTGGGTTAAGGGCACGCACATTTTCAATATCCATAGAAACCGCCTCATTCTCCTAAGAAAATGCCCTATTCCTTCTCTTCCTAAGAAAAGGCCCTATTCCTGACACCACCTACTGTTTATTTCAGCAATCTTTTTATTGTCACCCATGTGATTGGCAAAAATAAATCATATTTAATATTAGCTTTGTTATGTTACTTGTATTTCCCATTGCTAATGAGGCCTAGCATCTTTTCCATACCTTTATTAGTCATTTCCACTTCCTCTGTAAATTTTCTGTTCCTGACCTTTATCTATTTTTAATGTTAATTTTTTTCTTACTGACTTTCAGGAAGACTGTGTATATTAAGGATATTGTCTTAGTCAGCTTGAGCTGCTATCACAAAATACCATGGACTGGGTGCTTAAACAAGAGGAATTGATGCCTCAAAGTTCCAGAGGTTCAGAAGTCCAAGATCAAGGTGCCAGCCAATTAGACACCTGGTGAAAGCTCTCTTTGTAGCCATCTTCTTGCTGTTTCCTCACATGGTGGAGAGAGAGATAGGGGATGGGAGTGTAGGGGAGGGAGAGAAGATAGAAGGGAAAGGAGAGACTGAGAGAGAGAGAGAGAGAGAAAGAGAGAGAACCCTTGTCCCAAAGGCACAAATCCCATCATGAAGATCCCAGCCCTCATGATATCATTAAACCTAGTTACTTCCTAAAGGCCCCATCTTCAAATACCATCACACTGAGCATAGGGCTTAAACACATGAATTTTGAGGGGGGACACAATTCAGTCCATACTAGACTTTATTTTTTATGAATGTTAACAAATACTTTTCTTCCAAGGCTGCCATTTTCTTCTGTGCTGAAGGCATCTTTCAGCATACTAGATGAGTTCTACATTTTTACTTAGGCAGAGCTAAACTTTCATGGGTTCTTTATTTTGTTTCTTATTTAGAAAAACTTTCTGTCCTCAAAGATTATAAATATATCTGCCTCTGTCGTTTTCTACAGTTAGAGTTTTGTTTTTTATCTTTAGATATTGTAGTTTTCATGGAATTTATTTTTTTGTGCCATGTAAGATAGGGACCTTTTTTTTTTATATATATATCAAATGTGTAACCAATAAACCCAACATCATAACAGCAATTTTAGAAAAAATATTTTTTTTGGTTATATTCTTGGAGTCTTATCTGGGGTACCCTTTTATTAGGCTTTTTGAAATATTGAACTTAGCTCACCTGGCCTCTATTACTAATTCAGGTTGAGAATACTAGTCTAGACCACACAATTGTAAAAGTAATACTACTCTTAGGATTCAACAATGACCCTAAGACCTATCACCAGTAGGAAACGGGCTTTGAATTGCTTTTTTTCAGTAAAGAAATGTTATGTGTATGCCACATAATTTTATGTAATGCTATTTTGTTTTTGCCAGATGTCTGTGTGACCAACAGTTTCCAGATGGTTAAGTGGGTTCATTACGAGCTGTATTAGTCTGCTAGGGCTGCCATAACAAAGTACTACAGACTGGGTGGCTTAAACAACAGAGATTTATTTCCTCACAATTCTGGAGGCTGGAAGCCTGAAATCAAGATGTTGGTAAGACTGATTTCTTCTGAGGCCTGTCTCCCTGTCTTGTAGGTGGCTGTCCTCTCCCTGGGTCTTCACAAGGCCTTTCATCAGTATCTAATCTCCTCTTTTTATAACGACACCAGTCCTATTGGACGAGGGCGCACTCTAGTGACCTCCTTTAACCTTACTTGCCCTTTTGAAGACCTTATCTCTAAATCCAGTGGCCTTCAGTGGAACTGGGGAATTAGGACTTGAACATATTAATTTTGAAGGGACACAATTCAGCCCTAACAAGAGTATAGTCTGCAATCCTGAGATAAAGTTACAGTAACTGACCTACACAGGGATTGAGCTTGTTATCACAAGTTTATTATCCAGTGGTTCTCAAATATTGGCATACATCTGTTTTACATAAAAGACTTGCTAAATGAGATTGCTGGGCCCCACCCCAGTGACTGATTCAGTCAGTCTTAAGAAGGGCCAGAAAACTTATATTTCTTTTTTTTTTTTTTTAAAGATTTTATTTATTTATCTGACAGAGAGAGACACAGCGAGAGAGGGAACACAAGCAGGGGGAATGGGAAGGGGAGAAGCAGGCTTCCCGCTGAGCAGGGAGCCCGATGTGCGGCTCGATGTGGGGCTCGTTCCCAGGACCCTGAGGTCATGACCTGAGCCGAAGGCAGTCGCTTAACCAACTGAGCCACCCAGGCGCCCCGAAAATTTATATTTCTAACAAGGTCCCAGGGAAGGTCCCAGGCACTGCTGATCTGAGGAACACACTTTGAGAACCACTGGCTTAATCAACTGTGCTAACCAGCCACAGATGGCATGATATGAAACATAAAAAGAAAAGTGAAACTTTTAGACAATGCAAAATTGTACTACTATTTTGGTACTGGCAATTTAATTCCTTTCCTAAGAACTGTTTTTCTCTAACCTGAAACAAATGGCCTGAAAAATGTCGGAGTTATGCAAGAAGGAGCTAGAAGAATGCAGGATGCTATAGATTGACAGTAAGAGTCACATACAAAAAGACAAAGCAGATGTAAGTGAGGCTATGGTTTAGATGGTCACATGTCTCTTACTGGTGTCAAAAAGACTTTCGTTGTCATATAGACAGACAAAATTCCCATAGTAGTCTGGAAATATTGCTTATGTTTTATCACTAACCAAAAACCTCTTTTTTTTTCAAAAAAGGAAAAAGAACAGTGCTATTTGGATTATCTTTACGTTTTTCTCCCTTATGCTTCCAATGTTTATAATCTTCTTTGATCCTTACGTTTTCCACTCTTATTTGAGTCCAGTTAGTCTTAAAATAATTTCCTACTTCAGTAAAATAAATCCTGAGTCAGTTGTTGGCTTCCAAGGGGAGGAGGGAGTACTGAAACTTTTTCAGTTTCCAAATAAAATATAACACTAATACTTTTGGGACAAGTAAATTAT